TTTGTCCGCCGTAATTAAAAGCGCGATTTCTATGACAAAAAGAAACGTTTATTAACGCAATAGAGTAGTTAAATTTAGTAATAAAAACAAAAGTGAGTGATGTCGGGATATTGTATCAGTCTGCAGTGACGGATTCCAATATAACATCGCTCGTTATAATCGCCTGTCAAGCTGAATATGTTAAATGTAACACGACGATTCCGGCACCTTGGCGCAGTACCTGCGGTACAGAGCTTATTTGGATAATAGACTGCAGCTTGAGCTAATAATATTCCATCCTACGAGGCAAATAGACCAGAATTTGGAATCAAAAACGCACAACGGCTCGCCTTTTTCTTCTCGCTATATTACCCATCCCCTACTCCGCGACTGCCACGCCAGTCTTTTTAGTCCGGTAAGAAGGGAGCATTGTACAGAAAACTTCCACGCGCCGCGTCGGGCCGCGTCACCGACTGCCATACTTGTGTGAGACCGCCACTCTTTTGATATTTCAACGTAGTAGACGAGTGGCGTGTCGTAATGAAATCATCTCCAGTGCTTTGATCTTCTCCCCGTGCGGCACACCCCCTGGCCACCACCGGCAACCTCCGCGTCGCTTTCCCTTGAAAACGCGAGGCCACCCCCTCCGGCCACCCCTCACGAATGTCCCACTCAGTCTCAGCCGGCACCGCCGACTCTACCCTCTCCACCCGCACCCCGTATTCGCGTTCACGCAGGCAGGCACATGGTCCACCCCAACCTATCTACCCCTATAATGAGTTCCTTCTGCACTTTCTTCTTTGCCGCAACACATTTTTACCATGCGAAAAGCAATTTCCTAATTATGACAAGTGCTAACCGGTTATCCTTTGTCGGATGCGTCTTTGTTACTCTTTTCGTTACATTCGCCAGCCGGCTCGTAATTATCGTCGCGCACGATGTTTTCCACACAGCGGTGCTAATAGAGTCAGGCGTAAAAGTGCGCATCGCGCGACGCAAAAAGAATTCGGCGCGATATTGCGCGCCGGCAATCATGAGGTGGTTCCCTTTGCGCGAAAGACGACGATAAACGGTGACGATGATGGATGTCGGGGTTGTTGCGTCGGAGGTAACGTCGAGAACACGAGACGATGAAGTGGCGCGAATGAGTCGCCTTTTTCTTTCGCATGATACGAGTGGGGGAGGGAGCCTTCGATAGCGCTAAGTACTTGTCTTTCGGTTTAACGCTCCGTGGACACGCCAGATGAGGGAAAGAAAACAAGGCAAGCGATGCAAATTAGGTACGCACAGTCCACATTTCATCTTCTCTGTACGATAAAATGTATGAACGATGGAAGTGCCACTAATCGAGGAACGATTGTTTCCTGATGATCGTATCTAATCACGTTTCATGTGTTTGCTGTAATGCAGCTCTTTAACGATTCACGAGGCCGCCAATATAACGAAGTATACTCTTACGAGAAACAATAATTTCAATTAATGAAACACTCTTGTACGGCATAAACGAGAAAGTTTCAGTAGGAGTTTGATAATCGCTCCGTTACACGAGATTCTATTTAACATTTCCAGCATCGGCATCTTCACTGTTACTATTTATCGTATGATCGTTTAGTGATTCGCAACGTTAAGTGATTCATGTAATCTTGCCTTTACTCACGCGAGTAAAATTTCAGTATCCATTTCATGTCATGTGACGATAGGCTCAGAAAAGTAAGTGGTGAAAAAGAAAGACGGTAAAACTGATTGTTTGCCTGAATGGGGGGAAAGGCGACAATACATACAGATGAATAACGTGGGGTACTATTTATTAGTGACTACAGTGGACAGTGACGATGATCGATACGCGGATGAGCGAGTTGACGAGGACGCCAAGAAGCAGAAGAGAGGAAAAGGGAGGAGAAGCTTGTTCTTTGTACGAGAGAACCATGACCGTGGCGGCTATATAAGGTGTATCGAGCAACAAGGACTAACGGCCTTTAATTAATAAAGTTACGCGAACAACTCTCAAAGTCTTCCTGCCCCCTGCCCCCTCCTCCTGCCCCCTCTTCACCTCACTCCTCACTTGGATAGCAGCTATTTCCTTCGCTTTAGAAATTCTGGTATTTTCCCCCACTCCCCCCTCGTTGCTTCTTCGTACTTTGGTCCTCTGTAAAGGCCTACCTGCGAAGTTGTAACCCTTTATTGGATGAGAAAGCGCCTTCCGCTTATCTTGCAGAGATACTTTTCCGCGAATTTTCACTCGATACCGATAATTATGCTCATATCTCAAATGTTGCTTAGTGGATAAATGTAAGAGACGTTTACACGCTTTGAGACGATGGACGATGTAGTGATATCTGTGTGTGTTCGGTGAGGAATTTGCGAGACATATCGCGTCAGGACGTGCACGCACCCAATGGGCAACGTCGATACAAGATAATGCTATCGGAGCATGACTAAATATTGATGTTAGACGCTGCTGGCAACAGGTGCTACCGCGTTTCTTCCGTTTTTCATCTTATATGCTGTATGAAGAAGTGTGTATGTTACGTTGAGCGCGTAACACGTAAGAAAAAAAAGTAAATGCATCCTCCATTTTTAATTAAATGTGAAGTGATTTTCAAGGGAGTCTTGGGGATCGAACGAGGGAGATATCGTCTCTGTACGATCAATCGTCCTGAAAGTAAAATTACAGGAAACGCGCAAAGCAAATTCTGCTCGAGAGGAAACGGGATATCTGTCTTCGTTCGAATAAATCCCGTGTACACGCGAAAGGTTAGAAATTCATTTTTAAGCACGCTTACTGAAATTTCAACTTATTGAAATTTATACGCGCAGCCCTCAAGAAGCCACTGTGTATAGAGCGTGTACGTATTTTACAGTCACGTGTAGACGTTCCGAATTTGTAATACATACGGATGTCGTGGCTCGCGCATATATAACGCTGCGTATGTATATAACGGGTATACGTCATTGCTATGTAGATTACACAGTACATATACACGTACGTAATACGTTACCCATATAATACGCTTGTGTAGGACTTCACCACGTGTATTAAGAGTCAGCGACATTTTCACGTGCATTACACGTACTTTATATGCAGCATAATGGAAATAGACGTGTAGTAAATTCAACGTGGTTTACACAGAATAACGTAAGAATCACTTCACACGTCGTTTATTGACCAAACGTCTCGCATACCGCACGTACGTTTCACGTGCCGTTGCTTTTTCCGACCTCGAAACCTGTCAGTCTTTCCACACAACTGACACGCGAAATCTCATTAAACTACAAGATTTCTTAGTTGCTCGACTGAACAAAAAAAGTCAAATTGAAATATGACCTTTTGACGTGCTGTCTGTGTATCACGTAAAAATTCGGTGAGAAGCTGGTGCAATCGATTGACTCGCGCGAAATCGCGATACATATTTTCTCCTCATTGACGCCGCCGGCGCCAAGAGCGGAAAAGGTTGAGGATCTTTTCAAAATGTGCTGCGCAGCTACAGGGAGTACACGAAGACCAATCCCCCGTTCCGGAAAAGGAAGCACCACCCGTAGATTGCCAGACTTCAAGAATTAAACCGCGTTCTCGCTGCCAACACCGTGACGTCTTGCTCGCACTACGGCGCATCGGCCGTCGTGCTTCTCGGGAGAATCTTCCGGCGAGTTATGGCTTGCTAAAGAAAATTGACTTGAATCTACGCCAGGATAATAAAAGCGCATAGCTGCGAGAAAGCGCGGGCGAGAAAAATGAAGAAACAATCCCGACACCCCATGGCCGATATCGGCGCGGTGGAGAGAAGGTCGTTTGGGGCCCGTAGGACACAGCCAAGGCAAATCCCTCTCGTTATATGGACTATAGATTGCGGCTGTCGGCCCCAATGTTAATAAATATCTATTAGCACGCTTCGAAACCTTGCGTCGCGATACCAATATTACGAGCGATATTAAACGCGACGCGGATATTGCGTTATTTTGTCTCGAACATTTGGCCTGCCTTACACCCCTCGCATCCTGTATATTTACGCTGATATCTATATGTCGCAATCGTCCTTCGAATATTAAACGGAAATGCCGCGAATAGACACGTCTGCTCTAATGCTTTCGCTATTTTAATTCTTTAGTAATAGGCATTGCGGACACAGCACATGATTATCAACCCTTGAATACATGATGTACGCACCGAAAGGGCATTCTGTGCGAAAAAATCAAAACGGCAAAGAGTACATTCTCTTTGTAGAAAGTTCCTTCTCTTAGAGAGAAAATTGAATTTGGGGATGGAGGAAAATTAATAGTATCTTCACACCTTTTCAAGCGGATAATCCCCAACGATGATTAAAAGATGATCCTCAACCTCGTCGAATTCACTTCGACATGATTTTACGTTTAATTGGAAGAAGTCAGTCGGAGATGCAATGTGTTAATTGCGCGTTAACACGCCACGCTAAACAGCACTGACACTGACACTGAGATACGCAGCACTCCTTAATCGCTGCTATTGACAGGACAGCCTGCATCACCTTCGTTTTGTAGATGACGTAACCGACTTTATCGGCTAACTAATGATGGCTAACGTAATAACAAGACATATTGAAATCACCATCGATGAGACTCGAATGTGTTTCATTGCATTAGAGAAAACTAAGTGGGAGCTTCATAAAATCAAGCGCATTTTGTCCGATTAATGTTGACGTACTTATGTGAGGATAATCGCGTTATATAGGGCAATCAGCTATTGTTCCAGTGCCTATGCCGTTGCGCGCTGTTAGTTATAATGGCGCTCTTTTGCTAATACGCACGTACATTATATACATTATATACAATCTAATATAATTATCGAATGTATAAGAGCGAAATTTACAATGAGGCGATGATATCGTTACGATATTTACCGCGTTATGACAGCCATTTACAAAACACAATACACACACACATACATACACATACGTTACACCCACCCCAAGCGGCGCGACGTATCGATACTTCTCGATGGCGTTCCGAACGTGTCGCGTCGAACAAGCAATCGAATGGTCTTTTACCTTATTCGGTGTCGTTGCTTGTTGCTGCGGCGAACAGCTGGTGCTGTGTATAGTCGGCTGATTGGTCGTTGCCGGCACGATGCCCTGATGATTCAGATGGCTCAGCTGATTCAGCTGCGTGAGCTGCTGCGGTTGCTGCACCGGATTCTGGTTGTTGGCCTGCAGCTGTTGATGATGCGACTGATGCGCGGGGTGAGTCGTCTGATGATGCGTCGCGGGGAAGGTGGGTACCGTGAACGGGACGAACAGCATCGGGCTGCCGAGGATGTGCGCACCACCTCCACCCAATGCCCCCGTCTCCTCCCTACACCTTTTTCGTGCGTTTTTGGTTTTGGGTAACTCTTTCTACTCCATCAACCGTGTTTTTTTTGTTTTTACTTTTTTATTTGGTTTCTTAATTTCGGCGTGCTCTCTACTACGTATATCGTTATACTGTTTGTTTCTGTCTTTTTATTATTATAATGTCAAGTGACCGCCTCGACGACGACGACGAGCAGAGTAGAAGCGTAGCAGTAGCACTAGTAGTGGTAGTAGTAGTGGTAGTAGTAGAGGTAGAAGTAGTGGTAGTGGTACTAGTAGTGGTAGTAGTAGGGGGTAGTAATATATACGTGTCGAAGTGAAGCTACAATGTATGTTTAATGATTTATCATTACCTGCACTCCTGCCCCAGCCCCTGGTGCTGGGGGTGGGCGTAGGGGGCGGCTCGGACGGAGGTGGTGGACGCCACCCTCGCTACCCTCAGCGATAGACCGCCCCGCTGACTGGTAAGCTGGACCGAAGTTGGCTGGTGATTGCTATGCACGCAGCAACAGGCACGGCAGCCGATCGGCTGTTGCTGATTCGGGATAGCCTGGAGGTGATGAGTTAGGGGGCCCCTGGGCCCCGTGGAGGAGGGAGAACACGGGTACACCCCAACCAGGCAACCCACCACCGCAGCCCCGGGGCCCGGTGCGCTCGGTGCCAAGGCGCCTGTGGACGAGGCCACCCCAAGCTCGCTGGCCCTCCGGCAACCACTGCACCACTGCACCCACCCTCCTTGTTGGGGGGCCTGTTGGTACGTCCTGTTGACGCCGTTCGTTGAGCCGGTCTGAATGACCTCAACCTGGGCCTCTTTGAGCTCACGATTGCCTGCGGGCGGGATTTTGCTACCTTGCTGTTCACTCGGGGTGATTTACTCCCGACTTGCGCGTGGCTGACGTTGATTCTTGATCCGCGCCAAATCTTCTCCGATTAGACGTTGACAATCGACGAAGAAATCCGCTTCACTTCGACTTTATCTCTCGGCTATGTGTATGCTTGTGTACGTGTGTGTGTATGTATGTCTATGTGCAGGTGACTCTAACGTTCACTGACGTAGGTGTAGGACTGCTGGTTTTAATTGAAAGAATCGCTGGAGTATCGCAGTCCTTGTTCCAGTTTGTCTTGTTGTTTGCGGAGGAGGTTGCGTTTCGATAGATAAATTCGGCCGGTCGACGTTTCGAGTCCTCGAAATTCGTTAGCACCACGTTCCGTTAACACTGATCACGCTGTTTTACGCGGAGAAAAAATCGCGTCTAAAACACACTTTCGTTGCGAATTCCTGGGAGATCCTCTTAAAAATTATGCTCAGTTCTGTCGAATTCTGCTTGTTATGGAGTGTGTTTACCATATACTACTCTTGGCGCAGTCGACGCTCACTTCACGGCCACGTGGTCGACTTGGGCAAGCTTCTGTGTCAATCTGTTTGAGCGCCGGTACGGGTGTGAGTTGCAGGTTCTTGGTCTCTACATGTACAAATACGTATCCGCAATTATAAAAGTTCGCTACACCCCTGTTGCCGTCGAAATATTCGATCCTCTCCTAGCCAAATGAGTACTCAAGAACAAATCATCACACGGGCGGCTACTAAGTGTTAAATTAGCGATAACGTGCTTCAGGATTCAGGAACAAATACACGAATGATCGTCACGTCGTTCGCAACACTCAACAGCTGAACACGTCTCATCGCATCGTATAAATTGGCAAAGTGACGGTATCTTCCCCGCAGTCGGCAGAGCATGTGTCAGCTTCACCCTCAGCGATCTGTAACGGATGTCGGGGAGTCTTATATCACTCGATTCGACGATACAAGTTATAAAACGTATGTTCCCGCTTTGTAGTTAGATATACTGCTGTGTGTATATGTATGTGTATCTACACTGTGCGTGTATATCGTATAATTTACAACTCCGTTCAATCTATTGGCATCTTCCAGTTGATGAGTAGACCACGGTGCACAACACTTGCAATCGCACGCGTCGCACAAGGTTTTCGTTCATAACATCGCGTTGAGGGGGGAGACACAAAGTTCGCGCACAACTTGAGGAACGATAATCACACTCAATCGTTCAAGCAACACCTTCCCCGTATCCTTCTTAAACCTTGTCTTAGGAGTATCTGTCGGATATAGATCGTAGAAATCCAGTCGAGAACGTTACTGCCGCGCGAACGACATACAAAATAAAAAGTGGCGGTTACTTCCGATCTTTGTACGAGGATTAACACCCTTAATTGCGGCGGCCTTCTCTCTCTCTTTTACTTTTTCTCTCTCTCTCTTCTTCACGAATAAACCAAACAAAGCGGCCGGTCCTCGCGATCGTACAAATGAGATGAAAGACACGACGGGTGGAAAAAGAGGGAACCTAACCCGTAATGTTGGAAGGTCGCTCGCCGACTGACTAGCACTTCCGCTCAGGCTGTTGTGCGATTCAGAGTGGGGGATGCTTCGTTGGGTTGTTGTGTGTAGGGGTTGGTGGCGGTGGGTCGACTCGTCGGTTGGTTGGTTGGGGTGGTTGTGTGTGCTTCGCTCGTGCTGTGCGCGGGAAAGCAGGGGCTTTCAAGCCTCCAGGATCCGTGCGGCCCGGCGAAATAGTGACCAGTTTCACGTGGCTCGTACTAGCTTGAGTTCAACTACTTTCACCTTGCGTTCCTCGTCGTCAGCGTGTCGCACCCCGAATGTTCGCGAAACCTCAACGCCGCGAATATTAAGTAAGCACCATGAGAACGCGTCAATTCCTCGAAATATCGAGTTGATATTCGTTTACACGTCGACGCGTACGCGGAAGCTGACGATAACGAGCGAGCAAGCGAACGCGTGCCTACGACTGTCACTTTTCACTTGTAAAACCGTGCGATTCGACGTGAACTCGTTGCCGGTGCCCTCAAAAATGTATTCGTGTCGTGGACAAGATGTACGATCGGATAATCAAGACGAAAGGGCGGAATACAATTCGGTGAGTAAATCGATTAAACGGCGAGAAGAAGTCGAGGTGTGCGAGACAGACTGCGTGGGGTACCAGGTGCGCGCTTATCCTGTCAATCGAATTATCCGGGGTTTGTCGCAGCTGCTTCAAAACATCCTTTTACCTTGATAGACGCGAACCGGATATCAGTCAGAGTCCGTCGTTGAATTTGCAATTGTGCGAAGCGCGATATATTACGATTCTTCAACAAGGAGGAGCTAAATTTCGCAATTTATCTTAACGAGATGCTTTTCTGTCACGGTGATTAACGCGCGCGCATCGTAAACATTCGGATAATTTCAGCAATTGGGACTCGACGTCGTGGTAATCGTCGTGTATCACTGGAATCCTCACAAATCCTCGTACTCCACGCTAGGCCATAAAGGATGCTCGGCCGACGGACGCGAGCACTATTCAGCGGGATGTTTCTAGCCGGGTAACGCGTGTTTCAAGAACGATTTCACGTCGCCGCGCACCAGTAAGATCACTTGAGCATACGCACTCGTAACACCTGTCACAATTGTCGAACTTGCCGTCGTCGCACTGCCGAAAACCGTCACTTTCGCGAACGTCTCTTCGTTTCGAGACGATATCTCTCTCGAACGAAACGCCGGGGAACGGAAAGGGGCACCGGTTTATAAGGATAGCTGTTTGTACGCGTGCGTCCCGCTACTGGTTTGTGTTTATGCGGCCGGCGATCGTATAGGTGTGTCGGTGAGGGGAAAAAGTGTCTCGGCGCGAGTTACAAGCGACGGATAAAAAATGATAATGGCGGATGGACAGGCGGATATACGGGGGACTGGTGTGACGTGGTGTCTGGTAGCCTAGTGTGTAATGGGCTATGGATTTGGTGGAGCGCTGGTCCTGCACGTAGGTAGGCAGCGTGGAGACAAGAACCCTGCTGTATCGCAATGTATCGCGGCGGCGGTGGCGACGACGGCGGCGGCGGCGGCGGCGGTGGTAACTGGAGGGGTGGCTCGTCAGGCTGGAGGGGCGAGTGGGTGGCAGAGGGTGGGAGTCTGGCTCGTTCCTTCGTTCGTTTCGAGGTGGTGGAAGAGAGGGTAGGTCAGACGATCCCGAGACCGAGGGCGCGCAGAGCGCCGCTCTCCTCGACAGGCGTGCGGGGGCAGTTGCTCTCGCCGCCCGTACGTCGTATAAATCTGATGTTTTTTAGCGTTCCGCGCGTTTCTTGTTCTCGCAACATGGCACAGATTCCCGATGTTCCCTTCAATTGCCCCTCGTTATGTTAAATCGGCGCGTCGCTGCGTCGAAGAATGGATAATTATTGTGCAATACCCGAGCGACTCTTTATCACGACGTTTCAGTCGAAAGATTCGGCTGCATTGTCGGTGGCTCAGGTCAACGGATAATTTTGCAATCTACACGCGTGTACAACTACCCCGAAATACTTTTACGTGCGTCTAATATACCGAAAGATTGAATCCCGTCGCTCGAAAATGAAACTCAGAAGCCTGCAAGTACGCACGTTACGCCCTTCATATTCACGCTCTAGCGCTGCTTCGGTAATGAGAGCTTTTCTGCCGCCAGAAGCGGTGCTTAAAAATGTCAAGACTACGAATAAAGTTCGTCAACTTTTTATGAAAACCTCGAAGAGCGTCTGAATACTTTTTTCCCCTCCTGAATACTTTTCGCTCGCGTGTTAGTTAACTAAGAGATGGGTGTAACCAAAGGCATGCGGTTAGCGCGCCGATGAATCGATCAGCACTGGTCATTTGGCTCCCTTTGTCGCACGTGTTAATTAAAAATTGCTGGCGGTTATCGTCGTGCAAGGAATCACACACACGGGTCTGTAATTAATTCGTCGATAAATTCCCATCGACCAGCCGGCAATCTCGCGGCGTGTACCTGCGCCGTGCTTTCGAAAATTTTTCGTCGCTTTGAGACGAATGATCACTGAACGAATTAAATCCTTTTATTTCTTGTCCCGCTTTCTCTTTCTTTCTTTCTACGTGAAACGCGTGTAAGTCATTCGCATTCACGGTCGAGATAGCCGTTCCGGCTAACTACTACCGTGGCACAAAAACGATCGAGTTCGCCATCCGGCGGCGAAAGAAGGACAAGCCGACGAAGAGCGGCCAATGGCAAAGTTGATAATAGCAAGGACTTTAAATGCGATTTGTGACTCATCTATAATTCACGGCGCTCGCGGTCGACGATTTTCCATCGGGTCGCCATCAACGGGCAGGCTCGCGCGAGCACGACAGATACGGTGTACACATTGCGCCCAGGAAATTTCGTATTTTCGCGGCTAATGACTGAGGAACGAGACGGTAATGTATTCTATGCGGAACATCTACTATGCGCTCCCCATTAGCATTTGTAATGCGCATCTACCCCTAACTTGGGGCGCAAGCGTTGACGCTCGGCGCAAACCCATCAACGTACCATTTATAGCGCCGTTTCGTGCCCGCGTACGCGGAGAAAAGAGTTTACTACTCGTTGCTGGTGAATATGTTAATAGGATGCACCCGCGCCGCGCGCTCGCTCGCTCGCTCGTAGCAGCGTCCGCGTTATAACGCAGCCGTTGGAAGATTACGGTCGCCCGGCGTCGAGGTATTTTTCCGCGGCTCCCAAAGGCCGCGATAATACGTGGAAGTAGACGCGCCATTAAGGGGCCTTTCACATGTCACGCGAGCGAACGCCGCGCGTAGTTACATCCGCTTGTCGATGCTTTGTGATTTTTTTTTTTTGCGCCGCGGTGGCCAAAGCGATTCGCACTTATCGCTTTCGCATGAAGCACCCTTATCGACTTCGCGGGGTTGCGGATAATCGAGGCCGACGTATCGCGTGCGTCCACCGCACGGCAACACGTGTGTTTACACTCCTGCATGGCCGAGGTATTTTTTCAACCATAATCGATACACACCGCCAGCGACGCGATAGAGACTGCTGAATATTATTCGTATCGACGCGCGCGACTTATCTGCGAATTCTTTCTTTTTTTGTTTTCGCCACGGGCAGAATCTGTCATAATATTTCAACAGCCGCTTACGCGAGAATAATACTAATTTATATCGGCTTTCGCATCACAAGAGAAGTTATCTCGACGGAGATAATCCGTAATCGTGAATTGCACGTCGACAAGTCGTACGCAACAATTTGTATCCGCGTAGTTTTCGCATGCCGATGGTACGCTGACGGTGCTGCGCGGGAACATTACGTCCAACGACAATATTGCAACGTTCATCGCCGTAAAGCCCGCGAAGAAATTCGCCGGCAAACACAACGCGGCTTCTGCCCGGCGATAATGCCGTAATTAACACTTGAGCCGGTGTGCCGTGCAATCTCGCCGGATGCGTTTCGCGGCACACCGAGCCGCTATAATACCCATGAAAAACGCTTGTTCAGAGCCGAAACGACCGCCGAGACCCGGGAACGTCCTGGAGCGCAGAGGTGGTGACAGCAAAGGCGGCGGGCGCAATAACGGATAAGCGGAGCAATCGGACAGTTTGCGAGCGGCCTCTGCTCCTGATGGGCCGGACGATGGAGAGACACGGCTGTAGGGAGTCGGTATATTTATAATGACCCTATATGTATGCAAATGGCTGCATATCGTACGCTCCTATTCTGCCCGCACCGCTCGCATCGCTCGCGTTCGCACGTGAGAGAGGGCCCGGGTCCACGTGTCCTCTCTACCTCCACCCCGTATGTGCGAACCTCTCTCCCTCTCTCTTTGCTTTCCGAATCCGCGTTCACGTACGCGCGCGCGTGTGCACGTATTGCGGGGTCGCGTGTGCAATTACGCACACGCAGAGGCGACGAGTCGAGGGGGATGGAAATGCATTGATTGTGCGTAAACGCGAGTCAACGCAATCCCACGAGAGACCGCGGCGCAATTTTGCAGTTAACCAAGTCTTTTCGGCCATTATACGCGATCTCGCGGCGTATCCCTGATAGACGCGACAGATAGATCGCTTTCGGGGACAAGAGGATCCTAACTCGACAACAAAACCTAGTATAACTTTGCTGGCTAGTCGGCCGTGAAGGTGGATGGAACTCTCGCGAGCCTGCATTTATAAGCTCTCCGGTGTGTGGCGCGAGTTTTATCCTTTCTTCTCTTTTTTCTCAAAAAAATTTCCTGATAATTTTATCATTTATGACCTCAACGATTTAGAATATTTAACAGCGCTGATTGTCGTGATTTTTCGATCGCTGGATGTGCTTGTCATGAATCGACAGATGAAGATGGTGGATCATTGATTTGGTGTGTATTCTTTGTTCTTTTCGAAAATATCGATCGAAAATATCGATTGTTGTATTACCGTACGTCGTGCATTTGTCCATTAAGCCTGGTCTATAATCGATGTCGTAAGCCGTAAGAATTGGCCAATCATAGCCGATTAGTTGATGTAGAATCAAAATTTCGACTCGGAGTCGTCGTATTTTTTGTGCAAGAGGACAAGAAAAACTGCCGATAAAGCGCAGTTGACTTTACATGAATTATACAATATTACCAAACTTTTTTATATTTTCAAATCATACTGAAAATATTGGATTTATGTGCAAATCTTGATTAACATTTGATTTTATCGATTGCTGATGTGCACGATGAAAAACAGTAATATATCGCGATTTTATCTTTATTTCGTATTCATGCTGATGAGTCCGAGCTATATATTTATACATATATAACGCTTTCATTAAAATAACTATTTATTTTATGGACTGCCAGTGTGTGAGCTATATCTTTGACAGCCCTTTTAATTCGGCAAAAATGCACGCACACGCCCGCACGTAGATGGTATCGATTGCATAGTTAGTAAATTCAGCGTTTCACAGCAACCGGAAATATTTACAAGAATCGATTACTCGGTTTAGGAGATCAGTTTAAACGGATTATATCGCGACATTCAATGCGCGGCCGAAATATTACTATGTGCGCTCCTACGATGTGGGGTAAAACGCATTCATCTCTTTCTGACCTAAAACTCGACCCGCGTAAATGTCGATAAAGCGCATCGCAACGCACATAAATTATAACGATAAACATGTTATTTATAGGCCAACATAAATTGGCTATGCTAATTTCTGCTGATCAGCAGGAAACTGCATTGGGGCTACCGCGATTGCTATAGTCGTATTCATTGAAAACAAATTGCAGCCTATGCCGATGCCGCAAATCTCGCTTTTGGCAGTGCGCAACAAAACGCGCGAAGAGTAAAAGTTTGCCTCCCGTTCAGCGATAATCTCTTACGCGCTTCGAGTTATTAATTGCAAGCGTTTCATATGCGCGCGCACATTGCTTTGCGTTCTCACAAATTTGCAAATTATTCTACGTATTAAGCATCATTCATCGTTTACATAACACGAGTCAAAAACAACGGCGTTGATCTCTCACAAATGAAAAAAGAAGGAATTTATACGCGCGATTGATGTTGTTAATTTGCATTTTATCGCGCGAGAGCGTATCAAAAGAGGTACGCGACGATAGATGTAATGAACCCAAAGTATCGTTAAAACGAAGAAAGCCCATGGCGCATTCTATCCTTCATAACCGCGTAACATCGGTACAGCATGCAACAATATACCACGATAAAATAGGTTCAGCAAGAAGCGACGGCAGCAACAGTCGCCAGTTTCCCGCGGCACTAGTTTCCGTCTCCGCGGTCTTGTTTTGCAGCACGAAACCGTGAACCACCTTAAATAATTGCGAGCTTAAACGTGTTTTGCTAGGGGCCGGGCGAAGGAAGCGGGGCAATCAAAGGGGAAGACCGTCGAAAGAAGGATAAGGAAGCCGCTACAACAGAAAGTTTGTAAAGTGTTCGAGCGTATTCGTTCGTCTCGGGGTCTCTTTCAGGCGATGAATGGACACCTCACCTACCGCTAAGTAGACGCTTATGTAAACCCTTCGGGTGAAGTAACCT